GAAGGCCGGATGAAGCAGTACAAACAAGCGGCGGAGGAGTTGCTGAAAGCGTTTGAAACCCACGAGATCACTCAGATCCCCAGGGCCGAGAACGCCGAAGCCGACATCCTCTCCAAACTCAGCTCGGACACCCCGGAGCACATCTCCCAGTTGGCCAAGATCGAGGAGTTGAGCATGTCCAACATCCATGCCAGCCCCGTCTTGTGCGTCCAACAGCGACCAGAGGACTGGATTTCCGACATCGCCACCTTCATCACAACGGGGGAGCTGCCCCGGACGAGGAGAGGGCCAAACTTGCCAAACTCAGGGCCCCAAGCTACACCATCGAGGATGGCAAACTCTAAAAACGATCCTATAATGGCACTCTCCTCCGATGCCTGCACCAGGACGAGGCCGACACAGCCATGCAAGAAGTTCATTGTGGCGTCTGCTCCTCACACCAGGGCCCTTTCAGCATGTCCCGGCGTCTCGTCGTCCAGGGCTTCTTCTGGCCGACGATGGCACGCGACTGCGCTGACCTGGCCAGGAAGTGCACCACATGCCAGGTACTCCCGAAGGCCCCTGGTCGGCCAGCTGTCAACTACGCCCCCGTCAGCACCGCAATTCCATTCTCCAGATGGGGGATTGACCTGGTCGGCCCCCTGCCCAGAGCCGCCGGGAATAACCGCTACATCATCGTCGCCGTCGACTACTTCACCAAGTGGGTCGAGGCGGAGCCCTTGGCCAGCATCACGGGGGCCAGATGCCAAAAATTTGTTTACAAGAACATCATCACATGCTTTGGCGTCCCCCAGGAGATTAAATCAGACAACGGCACCCAATTCGAGGCAGCCCCTTTCCAGGAGCTCCTCCGGGAGTTTGGGGTGAGGCATCGTTTCTCCTCCGTTGCCTATCCTCAGGGCAACGGGCAGGTTGAGAACGCCAACAGAACAATCATGGAAGGGCTGAAGAAGAAACTCCAGAACGCAGGAGGTAGTTGGGTCGACGAGCTCCCCAACATCCTGTGGTGCTACAGAACCACGCCGAGGAGGGCGACAGGCGAAACGCCTTTCGCCCTGTGCTACGGCTTTGAAGCAAAGGCGCCCACGGAAGTTGCCATCTCCAGCCGGCGGGTGGAACAATATGAGCCTGACACCAACGAAGAGAACATGAAGATCGACCTACACCTGGTTGATGAGAGGCGTGAGCAAGCTTACGTCCGAGCAGAGAACTACCGGCGTCAAGTAAAATCATACTATGACGCCAAGGTACGTTCCCGGGAATTTCAAGTGGGGGACTACGTCCTCCGCCGAAGGGAAGCAAGCCATCCGACAGAGGGTGGCAAGCTAGCATTGAAGTACGAAGGGCCCTACATCGTCAGTGCCGTGGTCAAACCCGGCACCTACAAGCTTAAACGCCCGAATGGGTCCAATGTACCACGAACGTGGAATGTACACCATCTGGTGAAGTTTTATCAGTAATCCGAATGAGGTGCAGACGGCGAAGCCCTCACCCCCTAACGGGTTACTGATTGAACGCCACCCTCGGCCTCGAGCCACTTATGAATAAAATCATGTTCTGATTTTTCTCTGGAATTTAAAGTGAAACATTAGCAGGTGCCCCCGTCAGCCACCTTAGAGCGAAAGGCTCAGGCATGGCCGACATGGCCCCTTGCATTTGCAGCCTACGAGCGACAAGCTCAGGCACTCCATTGTATTTTGTATCAGCGAAGGGCTCAAGCCTAGCTGAGAGAGCACATCGTCCTGGCCTCGTAAGCCTAGAAGTGAAACGCTCAGGTATGGCCGACGATGTCCCCAGGACGAGGGGCCCGCAAACGGCCCACGTCTTGAAACGGGAAGCTCACCGCGTCGTCCATGCGCCAGAACGCAGCACGACAGGCCTGAAATCATGGCCGAGGTGACAAAATCCCAAAACTCAGGGATGGGCAACGACAGCCGTTGGAAACCGACCAAAAGTCTAGCCCGCGTCATAAATAGGCGACGGGACCCGCCCTGAGATCACGGACGTTATAAACGAAGTCCGAACCGGCCGAAGGACGAGCACACCCTTCGGCCGAAGCCTGAAAGAAGGATACTCCCCGGAAATAAAAAATATATATATATATATACAAGGGAAAAAGAGGGAGGCCGATGGCCGCGCACACTAGCCGGCCTCGAGCAATGAAAAAATAAAATCCCCACAACTCAGGCCCAACTAGGCCAAGTACATATCAGTTGAACACAAGTGTAGTACCACTGACAGGTAACATGGACGACACGTCCACACACTACAAGGGAATAATCAAGGCCGAAACACACGCCTATAAAACCCTAACCGCATCGGTTGGGTGACACGCGAGAGGTGACCTTCATCGGCCATAGTCCTTTGAGGCACCAACGCTTGGTATGAAACAAAGAATCACAATCCTGAGGATGACCAGGACGAAGCGGGCACTTATCACACCCGCGGAAGGATCAAGCAATCAAGAAACAACCTCTACTCATCACGGCATCTCGGATGGCCGACGCAGGCACTGGAACCAAGGCTGTTGGTCAAGCGAAAGTTCTTTGGGAATTTGTTCAAGTGTTTACCAAAAACTTAGAAAAAATCCTGAGAAAAGCGAGGGTTCCTCAACAAGGTACCATGGCTAGCCGACGAAGGTAGGACCATCTCCTTGGAAAAGCCATTCCTTATCCAGCACCCTCATCGGCCACAAGCCAGACCTTGGCCGGCAGCGGTACCGCAAAGAAGTAAACGCCCAACATTTATACTTAGAAAATTATTTAAGTACTCAAATGAAGGAACTCTAGCCGAAGCGGGTACCAGTATACTCCAAGGCCGTTAGCTACCTACACCTCTGCATGTGTACTTAGAAGAATTCTAAGTTCAAAAGATCAAGGTGAAGGTGCCCTTATCGGCCACAACACAAAGGATACAGGCCGACAACGACACTGGCTCAAACACTTAGGACGATGTGAACGCTCAGCCACTTGAAGTTAGAAACTTGGGAAAATTCTAACAAAAGATAAGAAAGCCAACGCCTGGACGGAGCGGACACCACGGTCAAGGCCGAAGGGAAAGCACCTAAGTGAATCCAAAAACACTTAGGAAAATTATGAATAGATCCTAAGTGTTGTGATAGTAAGGAAGCACCGGACAGGCCGACCAAGCCACTAGGCCGGAAGGAAAGCAACTACAAGAATCCAAAAACACTTAGGAAATTTTTGAAAAAAAATCCTGTGTTATGATACTACATCAACACCGAACAGGCCGACAAAGCCACCAGGCTGAAGAGAAGGCACTTAAAAGGATCCAAAACACATAGGAAATTTTGGAAAAAATCCTAAGTGTTATGATAGTAGAGAAACGACGGCCACGCCGATCAAGCCACTAGGCCGGAAAGACAGCAACTACGTGGACCCAAAACACTTAGGAAATTTTTGAAAAAATTCCTTAGTGTTATGATAGTAAAGCAAAGATGAATAGGCCGACCAGGCCACCGGACAGGGAGGCCGACCTCACGGACGTAGCGGACACTCGCGGGTGACCCAAGTTATGACCTTGACACTTGGACAAATTTTAGAATTGAAATGACAAATGGCAAATAAGCATACAAGGAATTCAAAGCCGATCTGGACAAAAAAAATTTTCATTTATATTCAATTCAATACAAAGGTGGGCTCTTCGGCCGTTACATCATTTGGCAAAAATAAAAACTAACTACAAATGAGTAGCCGATCAAGCCTCTGGGGCACCTCCATCTGCGGCTGCTCTTCGGCCTCATCAGCTCCCTCGTCGGCCTCAGTCTCCTGGCCGGCAGCGGCTGCAGCGCTGGTGGCATCGTCCAAGAAATCAAATTCAGTATAATCCGGCTCGCCAAGGCCGGAGCTTTCAATGGGGGACTCGCGCTCCGACAGCGGAAGCTTGGCCTGCTCTTCAGGATCCTTCATCAGCTTCGGAAGCTTCAGGTTCCGTCTAGCCCACCCAGACGTGTAATTCATAGCCTTCAAAGCACGAGATAGCCGCCGACACAGGAGCCTTTGCATCCGCTCCTGGCCCATGTTATAATACACGGCCATCTCTCTGCTGAAATACTCCTGGCCGGCGGGGGAGTTCATCCCCCAACTCTCAAGCCTGGCGGCCACCACCTCGTAGCACCAGGGGAGCCTCTCATCGGCCTTCCACCCCTCGTCCAGGAACTTCTCAACGGCCTCATCAGCAGCCCTCACAACGGCGGCCTCGGCCTCAGCCTTCGCCATCACGGCCTCCTCGTTCTTGCGCCGCTCGGCCTCCAGCGCCCTTTGGGACTCCTCGAGCTCCCTTTTGCTCTCCTCGAGCTTGGCCAGGGCATCGTCCCTGGCTGCAGCGGCTTCATCGGCCCTCGCCTGCAAAGCCCTGGCATCATCCCGGAGCCGATCCAGGCAAGCTACCGCCTCGTCGGCCGAGGCAGCCTTCTGCTCCAGCTCCTTCAAGCGAGCTATCTCCCGGTACTGCCTTTTATGGCTCTCCATGAGCATAAAGGCACTCTGCAGAACAAGGGAAACAAAAGTCAGGGAAATGAATCTACACGGACGACGGAAAAAAACGACACATACGAAGGAAGGTAACTTACTTGGACGAGGAGGTCCATGCCGCCCTCGTAAATCTTTACGTCCCCGAGCTTCTTCAAGTAAGCCCGATCTTTGGCCGGCATGGCCTGGGCCAGGACGTCGTGGCCAAGGACGACATCATCAAACACACCCCCGCCGACGGGGTATTCTACCATCTTCTGGTAGGTGGCACCGGCAATCTCCTTGCCGGCCCTCTTCGTCCGTGGTTCCTGGACGAGAGGAAGCGATGGGGCAGCATCGGCAGCAGCAGTAAGGTCCACAACGGGACCACCATCGTCCACGCTGGGGACAGCCAGAATACCGGCCTCGGTAGCCGGAGAAGGGGAAGGTGCCCTCTTCGTCTTCTTGGAGACGTTCAGGCCGACTTCAGTTAATTTTTTCTGGCCGTCAGTGGCCGGCCTTTTCTTCTTCGATGGGGCAGGCTTTGGGGCCGCACCAGTAGTAGCCCCGCTCCCATCGGCCGCGGCACGTCTGGCCGCCTCGGCCGCCTTAGCAGCCAACTCCTCGGCCGCTTTGGCCTTGGCAATAGCCATTATGGAACGACGATCCATCGCAAAATCTACAAAGGAAAAACACAACAGATTAGTAAGGCAAAGGAACAAAACATAAAGACACGAAGCCAAAGAAATAATTACCATCGGCCTCAGCAGGAATGCCCAAGTCCGGGCCGTCGGCGTCTTCAAAGGTGGTGGTCATCCTCGGCCAGTGTTGGAGGTCATCCTCCTTATCACCATACACATGGTATCTAAAGAAGCCGAGGGCGGTCATCTTGTATTCAGTAATGTAGTCCTTTACGCTCCTCGGCCCCCCTTCCAGGAAAGCCTCCACCTGAGCGTCCAAGATAGAGCTCTTCGGCGGGTCATGGAGATTGAACCTCCCGGTATGGCCGAGGGAGGGAAACTCGGTGCCACTCTCACCCAGGGATACAAAAACGAACTTGCTCTTCCACTCATGAATGGACGAAGGCAAGTCCGTGAAGCTCCTCTTCTTCGGCAGTTGTTGAAGAGTAGCATAGGCCGCACAGTTCTTGTGGCTTCCTCGGCCGATCTGGTACAAATTCATGAATAGGGCCGTTGTCGGCCTGTAGCCCAGCTCCTCACACCGGAGTAAAAAGCCCACCATCAAGGAATAACTGTTCGGCGTCAGCAAGGCCGGAGGAAGCCCTACCATGTCCAGGTACTCGGTGATGAAAGGGTGAAGGGGGAACCTCAACCCCTTAGCAAAACTCATCGGGTATACTCCAAAGTATCCCGGTGGCGGAAGAAGAACATGGTCCGTCGGCCTGGGTGCCCTAACCCGCCCAAACGGCCCCACATACATCTGGGCAACAAGATAGTCGGCCGCGCTGCTCTCTGGCTTAATAAAAAAGATGCTGGTGAGATCCAGGTAGGAGAGGCCCGGCCCACTCTTCGGCCTCCTCACCCTCTTCGGCTTATCTGCTCCCTTCACGGCAGACACCGGCCTCGGGCAGGGAATGACAGCGGAAGTGGATGCCCCGTCCACCACTCGGGACGCACCTGCGTCCTCACCTCTGGAAGAAGAGGCGGACTCCTCGTCCTCGACTTCATCGTCCACCAGCTCTTCGGATTTGTAAGGACTCAAATGTTCTATCTCCTCCTCGAACTCCTCGAGCACCTCATAGTCGAGTGACCTGGTGGAGGGCTGGTCGTCGTACGGGTAGTAGTCTTTGTTCAAGCTCTTCATCACAACAAACTACTACGAGCCTAAGGGAAGGAACTTAGGATCTAAGGGTGTTCAAACGCCTAACACTAGATCACTAGCCTAGGAAGCAAAGTATGCACAAAGTACAGAAGATGGCGATGAACACTAACCTTGAACAACGAAGAACACGAAGAACAGGCTTGGGAGTTTATCTCTCTAGAAAAATGGCCAGCACTTCGACAATTCAGAATGCAAATGTGGTTTCTCGTCGGAGGGGGAGGGGTATTTATAGAACCCCCCCATCCAACGGTCACTACACGTGGCACCCTCCCAATGGCCACATCGGCGGTCACCAATGGGAGGCCACCACGTCACCAACGGGCCAAACTCAATAACAACAGCCCACTGGCAAGCCGGACTCTACGGCCCATACACGTGCCGGCTTCACGAGTGCCAACAAGCGCCCACATCGTCCTACTTGCCGGCAGGCGCCCACAACGTCCCATCTTGTTTGCCAGGTTCACGAACGCCAACAATAAGGAGACGACAACGGCCTGGAACGTAACAAACACCCATAGCGGCCACAGAACAAAAGGAACAAAGAGCCCACAGCCATCGGCTCCTCGTAATGACCCTTGATGATAACTCTCTACAAGCGATCTGCGCACAAGGGTTCTCCCACAGGGTTACCTTGGCCAGAAAATCGCCATGAGGGTTGAATTCAGGGGGACTACGGAGAGACCGCTTCGGCCAGGGACTCAAGCAACTCCTTCACCCCTCACACTCTTCGGCCTGAAGCAGTGGGGGACTGGGGGACTACATCGGCCTCAACAAAACAAAGAGGAACAATGCAAAGAACATGAATGTAACCACAAAGCATGGCCACACCGTCCACGCATCACAATGGACACATCGGCCAGAGGCACATGACATCATCAACAACGGCCAAAAGGAGTGCGCGAGCACCCTCATCGGCCACCCAAAGGAAAGGACGCCATTGTCCTCAAAGCAAGGAACAACCTCAACGGCCTCATCGGCCCAAACATAAACTTCAACCACCAACGTCCAGAAAAGGGAAAGCGTGCCTTCAACGGCCGCCATTGAAACAAGACACTCATCATCCTCAAATGAACACATTAAGGAAACAACGGCCTCCCCGCCCACAGCGAGGGACAGGTAACGGCCAAAGCACAGAACAGGATCACCAAAGAGGAAACAACGCCAACGCCGCAACGGCTAACGGCCCGGGGATGCCCGCATCGGCCAAAAGCACTAAAGCACGGGAATCTACTCTCCTTCACTTCGTCTACGTCTCAGCTTAGAGAGTGGGGGACTCCTGATGGAGTATATGGGTCTGAGCCCCCGGACCCACATACTCGGAAGAATAGAAAGCACAAGACACAGGGTGGCGCCCTCGTCGGCCAAGACGCCCCCGTCGGCCGAAAAGGGGCCAACTCGGATTATGGTCCTGAGCCCAAGGAACCCGGGTGCCCTCGTCGGCCGTGCCCTCGTCGGCCGTGCCCTCGTCGGCCGTGCCCTCGTCGGCCACGCCCTCGTCGGCCCCGAAGACCTCACAGAACCGGATTTTATACTTATTCATTTGTACAGCCCATTAGTGGCTTTGTATTCGGCCCAATAGCGGTCCAGTTGTAAGTGGGCCTCCCAAGCCCAAGGCTTGGGAGCCCAGCCCGTATTTTCTCTATAAATACTCCCCTTGGGAGTAGTTATAGGGGTTACAAAATCATTCTATTGAAGCATATTATTGCACTTCTCTCTCTAGCTCTCACTTCTCTCTAGATATACTCTATCAGTTATGTATGCTCATCTGGTAACGCTTTTATGTTCATTTTAAAATGTCAAATCAATGCATATTTAAAAAAATATCATATTACATTACAATCGCATAAGAGTTGATTACATGCACGAGGGCAAAGATCATGATATTCATATGCATGCTTCTAATACTTAATAGAGAAAGTTTGATGCTCAATGAAAATGTATCGATGTACAACTAACCAATTTTGTGATTTTCATATCAATGCTCATTTTGTAAGTTATGTATGCTCATTTGATACTGATTTTGTGCTCATTTTAAAATGTCATATCAGTGCATATTTCTAAAGTATCATATTACATTAGATTCACATGAAAGTTGATTATAGATACAGGAGCACAAACCATGATAGTCATTGCATGTTCTAATACTCGATAGAGGAGGTTTGATGCTCAATGGAAATGTCTTGATGCTCAACTAAAAAAACACTTATGATTTTTATATCAATGCTCATTTTGTAAGTTATGTAAGCTAAATTGGTAGTCATGTTATGCTCATTTTTAAAATGTCATATTAATGTGTATTTCAGAAGTGCAATATTACATTAGATTCGCATATTGAAGTTCATAGAAAATGATTATAGATGTAATTTAATAAGTTTTTTTTTAAATAAAAAAAAGTGAATTAGAAAATATGAAGCAGAGGTCACGATTGAATGAAATGAGTTTTTTATATACTATATCCTCCGTTCCATTTTAATCGCAACATGTTGAATTTTACACTATTCACATGCTCTACTTTGACTATATTTTACGCTATTATTTTACTAAAATTATTTTTTAAAAATATTGTTCAATTCATCTCATTACAAATTTTCAAAATCAGATTTTTAATTTTTTTACTAATAGAATTAAGATATAATTACGGCCAAAGATTTGAGTTGTCAAATGTGAAATGTTGACCGTTGCAACTAAAAAAGAACTGAGGGAGTACTAATTAATATGAGCACAATGTTTAACATAAATGTGCATTGATGTAACATTACGAAACTTATTATAAAATTGTTATAATTCTTATAGATATATTAATTGATAATTTATTAAATAATTTATTCGAAATTTTAAGAGTCAATTTGATACTCCCTCTGTATTTTAAGGTTCACTACATTAGATTGGACACATTATTTAAGGAGTAAAGTAGTAGAGGTAGTGAATAATGTTGAAAAGGTAGGAGAGAGTGTGTGTAAAAGTATGAAAGAGAAGATAAAAAGTAGATAAAAATCTAAAATAATGGTAGTTGGGTATTTTATAAAGGGTAAACTTACCAAAAATGAAAGTTTATGGAACTTTTAAATACAACCCAAAAAAAGTGTAGGTAACTTTTAAATACGGAGGGAGTTCAAATTAAGAATTATAAATATAAAAAAAGCAAAAAAAAAAACATGAAGAGAAAGCTTGGTGAAGTTAAACGAAATGATAAAGAGAATGAGAAGGATGGTGAATCGAAGTGAAGCATGGTGAAGTCAAAAGAACATGGGCAATGTCTAGTGAATTACGTAGCCACGTAGGCAACTTAGCAGACACGCCACAAGGAGACTAAATAGAGAAATTATACCGTGGGATCGGGCCACCTTCCGCATGGTGTGCCGATCCCAAATGGTGTCGTTTTTGTTTAGTTTAGGTTCGTTATTCATTATTCTCTGGCCGCTTCTATTCGTTATTCTATGGCTGCTGCTACTCTGCTTCTATTCGTTTTCTTCCTTCTCTTACTTTTCTCTTCGTTCTCTTCGTTCTCTTGCTTCTTGTCTACGATTACGATTTCAATGAAGTTTTCTTGTGGTGATTCAGTTATTTTGAATTCAAATATTGAATTCGGCGATGTTGTTCCGTGTAATATACAGGATAGTTGCGTGATTGATTCATCCGGCAGAACTAATATTGATGATGATCAAGTTGTTGATGTTGAATTGATCGGTGAGCGTTAATGTTTTCTCTTCGTTCTGCGTTTTATACTTTTGTTTTGTGTTTTGTACTTTTGTTCTCTATTTTAGAATTTTTGGCATTGTTTGAGAATTTGTATTTTTCTATTGATATTTTCTGAGTTTTTTATTCAAGAGAAGAAGATACTGCTGCAAGCGCTTCTAAATTGTTATATCTGCTCAGTAGAGGTACACTTTTCATTGTGAAGCTTCGTGTAACTTTTGGTTATGTGTTGTGTAACTACAGTGAAAGTTTATGTAATAGGCATTCGTAGATATGTAATTCGTGGTAGTTCTTTTACTTTGGACTATTGCTGAACTTTGGTTATGTGTTTTTGTACATGTCGTTAACTATTACTCCCTCCGTCCCAATTTGATGGTCTCATTTCTTTTGGGCACAATTTTTAATAAAGTGGTTGAAAAGGTAAAAGTTGTGGTTGAGATTTGAGTATAATAAAGTGAAATGATATGGACCACATCTTTCTTTCCAAAAAGGGAAACAAGACTATCATTTTGGGACATCCCAAAAAGGAAATACAGGACCATCATTTTGGGACGGAGGTAGTATGTTATATGAGGTCATGGATATGTAACTTTGGTTGATTAAAGTGTTTTAGTTGTTGTTTGTTTTCATATGTCTTGTTGTTATAATTTCAGATACATCAGAAACCGTTAACAAGTCAATTGAGAGTAAATCACCTATTGGATTGATTGTCAAGTTTGAACTGGAAGCTTACACTCTTTATAACAATCATGCTTTTGAAAATGGATTTGGCATTCGAAGATACAAACAGAGATTTAGGAGTGGGAATTTGAGTTTGTCTATGAAATCTTACTGTCGTTGGAAAGAAGGGAAGAAACTACAAAAGGGAACAGAAAACAAAGCATATACCAAATTAGATTACCGTTCAGGTTGTAAAGCAAAGTTGCATTTTCC